AGAGATAAGTAGATTAACATTGTTCATCTAATTTATAATCCCCATGTAAGAGATAAGTAGATTAACTATTGTTTCTATCTATATTTATAAATCCCCATGTAAGAGATAAGTAGATTAACATTGTTTCATCTATATTTATAAATCCCCATGTAAGAGATAAGTAGATTAACATTGTTTCATCTATATTTATAAATCCCCATGTAAGAGATAAGTAGATTAACATTGTTTCATCTATATTTATAAATCCCCATGTAAGAGATAAGTAGATTAACATTGTTTCATCTATATTTATAAATCCCCATGTAAGAGATAAGTAGATTAACATTTTTTCCTTTAAAAAAATTTTGCAGCGCAAAGAACAAAAGGAACTGGTGAGAAATTTCAGTTTAAAACTTTAGATTTCTGAAAAAGCATGTACCCGGAGCGCGTGCTACATTGACCAAAAAGCAAAAAAAAACCTGGTGTACAGTTTAATAGAAATTAGTGATAATTTGTGATGCCTATTATGATGCTTTATACCTGACTTTTTGTCTCTCATTTTATTTGATTTGTCCAAATACAAACACACAGTGTTTAGATTTTTATGACTTTGGGCTATGAAGTCTTTGAAATACGTTTTGTTTGAAGATGAAAGCGCTTAAAGGAAAATTTTATCTGTTTTTGAGAGATGTAAAAGGGTCAACGTATCAATAACTGGTTAGCTATATATTTCCGTGTTCCTTATTTTATGCTATTTTGAAATTGTTATAATGTCACGGGAAGGCGAAATGCAATAACTCCCTGCATTTGTAACTGACATCATAAAATGTAATATTTCATGTTTTTTCAATGAGTCTTAGTTCAAACAGAATATCCTAATGCAGTTAAAAGAAAGAAAATTTCAAAATTAGTAGCACTTTTATTTTTTTATTTTGGTAAGTTCTCGTGGTGATAAATCTTCTGTCACTAATGGTCTTTGTTTGGATTTGGCCCAAACTAGGCGGTGATGACAATGGTTCCTGAGGCTTGGCAGAGTGACAACTTGATGTCTCTGGAGAAGAAACAATTTTACCAATGGAGTAGCTGTGCTATGGAGCCTTGGGATGGCCCTGGTATGTTATATGGGATCATGACATTTACTTTATTGGACTGTGGAGCATCAAAAATTACACAATGAAATGGAACATTGATTCTGGAGAATCGAATCTCAATCACCCGGTTTTTAATTTTTAAAGATGACTTTAGGATATGATATTTAAAAAAATTGACGTTTCTATGTCTTTAGTCAGGAAACGTTTACTCCAGGAAAAATTTAAAATAGTGTAGCTTTGCAAAGCTCTATCTTGAAGACACGAGTTTTCTTTGATATTTAGAGAATATGGTGAATTAAAACTTAAGTTACAAAATCTAAAACTTTCTTTTTACTGATTATCTAAGGGTTATTTATTAAACTGTGTATGATTAGTGTCGATATTTGTTGCTGATTAGGTCTTGATATGGCCTGCTTATTAATTGGAGACATTGGGAGAATGAAAATAAAAACTGTCTCATACTATTATCTTATCTAAGTTTAATGTGTTAAATCGTGAATATTTCGGAACCATTGCTATCTTGCAGTGCAAGATTATTGTCATTTTTACTCAGTATGTTTCATTTTATTTAGCACTTCTGACCTTCACAGACGGTCGCTACGTGGGTGCTATTTTGGACCGAAATGGTCTGCGACCATCACGATTTTATTATACAAAAGATAATATCGTTATTATGGCGAGTGAAGTGGGTGTACTTGACATACCTTTGGATAAGATTATTCAAAAGGTTTGATATTTTTTCTTCTTCTCATAACTATGTATTTGAATATGTTTATTGAAGTAAATGAATTATTGTTAGTTGAAATACAGAAGACTTGTGTCTTTAACCATCTTTAACGAATACGTGTTTCTAACACGAAACTCCAATCTTGTGCTTTTTAACATTTTCAGTCTGTAATGATTCCATGTATTGGATATATTGACTTAAACTTTTGTTTCTTAGCCTACACGCCCCCCAGTGGCACAGAGGTATGTCTGCGGAATTACAACGCAGAAAGAAATGAACTCCGGTAGTGCCAACGACTTGCTTTAAACTAAAAAAAGCAAAAAAACAAAAAAAGACAAAAACAAAAAGCATTTGAACGATAATTCATTAAATACTGCCATTTACTTGTCATCCAGGATTGATTACTCGGCACTAACAACTGTCGGGACGGGGCATATAACTCACTCTAATAGTGCGAGTTCATACTTGTCTTTATTACTTCTCGTTAGTAAGTGTATGGATTTCGCATTACCAAAAGTAGGCAAATGTGAGCAAATAGATAGGGTACAGCTTTTTCGTTTCGGAACCTGTACAAAAATAACACGTTTTTACGACGTCAACGCTTACGTATTCTATATAGTTAAAAGTTATGTAAATTATCTCAAATGATGTTAAAGTGACTAAATTATCTTTGAGATCTATTCAAAGTGCGATTTTAAACTTAAACCCTATTTGTACGCTATAGCACAGACTTAGAGCTTACGGCTTAGGTGATTGAATATGATTAATCAACTTTAAAAACGTGTGTTATGGCTCTAATTTTGTCTTCGTTTATTGATGATCATAAAATAAAATAATCCTCGTTTATTGGGAATATTGAAAAACATGAAAATTTCGGCGTCTTAAAGAAGTCAAAATTAAAAAAAAAAACCTTGCATTTTGGTTCTGCTGCACACATAGAAAACGTATTTTGATTATAGTTTTATGCAGTCATTAATAAAATTGCTCTAATCTTTCATTCTCGTCGTAAATATTCAACTCCTGAACTCCACTACCTCTGTTAATGCCAAAGTACTACAGGTTTTGAGCAAAACGTTTATCACAGCGCTTTTCTATCATCAGTTTTTCATGTTTTTATTAATGTTAGAATGATTGTATTACACATTATGAAAAAAAACAGTGTTCAAATATTAGTAGACAATACTATCTTGGGAGATTTTGTAATTGCGGAAGGTAATCCAATCGTATATTAAACACCAACAAAATTAAGAAAGTACAAAATATAACTAAGTCCCTCCTTCTAAGAATATTCATTGGTTGATTTCCAGGGCCGTTTAAAGCCAGGAAGAATGCTACTGGTAGATACCAAAGAGAGAGTTTTTACCCGAGATGAAGAGCTTAAACTGCGTATTGCTCGTCAGCGCCCTCTAGGAGAATGGCTTAAAGAAATGGTGGAGTATTCATTGGTTATAAATATTTCATTCCATTTGTATTGTAGGTGAAATGAACGTTAAACTAGAAGAAAAAAAAAAGGGGTGGTGGGCAAGTTGGTGTGTGAAATATGCATTTGTATATTTTTTTGTTATTTAAAAGATCTGTTCATAATAGTATTACGTGTTCATTATTCTCGAATAAATTTATATACGTAATCATAAAACTTGACTAAAAATGAAAGCGATAAAATGTAAAGTGCCACCATAGGCGTAGGAGGCGGGGGTCAAGGGGGCAACTGCCCCCAATAGTTTTTCAGGAAAACATACCCCAAATATTCGGGCATAAGCATATCTATAACTTTTATATTTGCAAATTGATTATGCCTTTTCAGAAAATATATTGCCCACACGTGACATTTCATTTGCACATTTTTTAATCCTTTAGCGACGTATGGTTCCGCATGGAAGTCATTGGAACTATTTTTTTTTCAAGCGATTTCAAACTTTATAGTACATGATTTTTAGGTAGATTTTGTATTTTCGGTCAAAACTTGCTCCCCCCCGGTCAAAATCAAGCCTCTACTTTTATGAGTATCACTTCAAGTGTATGATGGAAATGTGTAGTTTTGCACCAAAATTTTACCATTTGACTAACAGTAGCACCCAGTTTCTCTTTAAATTTGACAATTCTTATTTGGATTTTGGTGGTTGGCTGATACCAAAATGAAAAGATTCTATCCTTTAAGCTTTATTAGTTTTTTCAAAAAGTTACAATAAGAGATAGTTTGATCATATGAAAATGTATCGCCATTGGTTAAACAATATAAGCAGATTTAAAGATAACTATTTATGTAAATAAATGACATTTGAGAAATGCATGTAAATTGTAGCTAGTCATGTATCTAATATAGAATTGTCACCATTAAGATAAACCTTGAAAAAAATTGAATATGTAAAGAAAAAATGATTAAAGAATACCACCACCATAAATAATAATAATTACAACAGCAAAAGTTACAACAGATGTGCAACGACTTTATGTAAGAGATTTATAATTTAAAACTACAACTAAAAGTTTGTCTTTTAGTGGTGTTAATGATTTTTCATGGTGATAATTAGTATTTTATATTTATAACTATTTTATTTTGTATTTCAGTTCACATTAGAAGAACTTCATAAAATTCATGGTGATTCAATAGAAGCTGGGGGTACTAGTAATGGCTTTGTAAACGGAGGGATGAATGCAGTTGAAGTAAAAAGAAATAGTCATAATCAATCCATAAATGACTTGTATAGTAGTGTCATGGAGGATCGTAGACTTTCACTGTTTGGGTATACCACTGAAACCATACATATGCTGGTGTTGCCTATGGTTAAAACTAAGTAAGTTAATTCTGTAGACTGTATTGTTTTAATATTATAAATCAAATTAACTGTTTGAAGCATGTATGCAAACTGAGTTCATAAATGTTGTTGATTTTAAAGTAGTATTTGAATTATGTCTTTGTAAAAGCAAAATAAATGTTGGCAAGTCTTACTAATGGTGTGCTTTCTCAATAAACTTCTTAGAAGATGGTAAACTTTCTAGTCATTGAAAAGTCTAAAAAATTGTATAGAATTGTATTCTATTTAAAGATATCACTTTATAAAGCAAAATGTAAGAAAATATAATTTATTGCTAATTTGATAAAAGCTTGTTTAAGTTCAATAAATATCCATAGAACTTAACACATTATAAAAAAAAAAATGTAAAGTTTTGTATGTTGCTCGATACTTTGTATTATTTTAAGTATTTATACGTCATTAAAAGTGTTGCTTCCGAGTGTATTATAAAATAATTCTGGTTAGATGTGCAACTTGTCATCAGTGCCTAATGCTAACTAGCCAATTTCTGCTTGCACCCTGGATTTTCCATTACTTTCTAATGGTTCTGGAATAGAAAAGAAAAAAGGAATATATATATATTGCAGAAGGTTTCTTAGGTATTTTCCTGGTTCATTATGTGAAGATACTCATTACAATTAATACTAATCAGGTTATGAAAAATCATACTATTAAGTTTACTATCTCTGCTATTTATCACTACATTTGTATTTTGTAAGTATAACTATCTATTAGGTCGTCAAGAAATTAATGCCGCATTTTGGAATATTTTCATTAACCACCCCCTAAAAAACGTACATCACGTACAATAGTTAAACGAACCGCCTAAATGTCATGTTATATCTTGTGTAAAGTTTAGTATACTTTAAATCTAACCCCTTATAGTGATGGCATACGACGTGACACATATTCGGCTTGCAATACTGTTTGAATACAAGAATATCAAAGAAATTTGTGGAAATGTTTTGAACGCTCGTAGGTGTCAACGATGGTTCAGCAAATTTCATTCAGGTGACTGTGATGGCAGGGGCTGACATATTGGAATTTATATTGATGCTCTGAAGATGCTTGTTGAGTCTAACCCAAGGCAACGCATTCGTGAAACGGTCCTCAAATTTCATATCTCTTATGAAACAATACGTAAACATCTAGGGAATATGGGAAAAATCTATGAAGGTGTTTGGGTGCCTCACGAACTCTGCGATGATCATAGTTTCCAACGTGTGAACGTTACTTCATCTCTTCTGGCGTTTAATGCGCGTGAACCATTTTTGGACAGAATTGTCACCAGTGATGAAAATGGATTCTGTATGCGAATATTAAATGGCAAAAAGAATGGTTCAGTCCTAGACAAAAACCACTTCCGACAACCAAACCTGGACACTATCCGCAGAACATGATGCTTTTCATTTGGTGGGAGTAATTCATATTGATCTTCTCAATCCACAGCGAACTGTCAATGCAGAGATCTATAGTCAGCAACTGGAACGTTAAAATCAAGCCCTTCATCAGAAACGCCCATCATTCATCAGTTGGAAAGGTGTTCTTCTCCATGACAATGCATGTCCATATGTGGTACGTTTGATGCAACACAAGATTATGGAGTTTGGTTGGAAAGTTCTCCCCCACCCACCATATTGTCCAGATAAGGTACCATCAGATTACCATTTTTTTTCGTTCGCTGTAACACCATCTTAATGGGAAAACGATGCAAATGTGGAAGGTGTTAAAGAGGACATTAACATGTTTTTG